ATGTATGGATCAATATAATTCTTTTTTTTGTAGATGCATGATGTCTTTACCTATCATTTGGTATATTTTTTTTATAAATCTGACTTTTTTACCTGCCTACAGGGGGGATTCAAAATGACAACTTTTTCACAAAAAATTGACTTTTTCAACTTAAATTTTGAAAGTGTTGCGAAAGGTCTGACACTTTTATATATATCTTAAATTAAAGCTAATGTAATATACTTTATAATGGTAAAAAAAAATTTCGGACTTTATTTTATCTTCATGGTGAAAACAGACATTAAACTTAATAAAAAAAATACGATTTTTGTAAAAAAATTCTTTTTTATATTTTTAACTTTATAATGCTATAACTTCTCGAAAGATGTATGGATCAATATAATTCTTTTTTTTGTAGATGCATGATGTCTTTACCTATCATTTGGTATATTTTTTTTATAAATCTGACTTTTTACCTGCCTACAGGGGGGGATTCAAAATGACAACTTTTTCACAAAAAATTGACTTTTTCAACTTAAATTTTGAAAGTGTTCCGGAAAGTCTGACACTTTTTTATATATATTAAATTAAAGCTAATGTAATCTACTTTATTATGTAAAAAAAAAAATTTCGGACTTTATTTTATCTTCACGGTAAAAGTGGCTACCGAATGCTATTTTTGTGAGGCGATTTTTGTAAAAAAATTCTTTTTTATATTTTTAACTTTATAATGCTATAACTTCTCGAAAGATGTATGGATCAATATAATTCTTTTTTTTGTAGATGCATGATGTCTTTACCTATCATTTGGTATATTTTTTTTATAAATCTGACTTTTTACCTGCCTACAGGGGGGGATTCAAAATGACAACTTTTTCACAAAAAATTGACTTTTTCAACTTAAATTTTGAAAGTGTTCCGGAAAGTCTGACACTTTTATATATATCTTAAATTAAAGCTAATGTAATATACTTTATCATGGAAAAAAAAAATTTCGGACTTTATTTTATCTTCAAGGTGAAAATGGCTACCAAATGCTATTATTGTGTGAAAATTCTCAATTTTATTTTTTACATTTTTAACATTATAATGCTATAACTTATTGAAAAGTGTATTGATCAATATAATTTTTTTATGGGAAATACTATTTTCTAATAATCTCTTTTTTATTCGACATACTTTGTCTTAATCAGGATATTAATAAGGAACTAGCAGTTTATGAAGCTTTTGGAATAATCCACCAATTTTTTAAAATTAAACACTATCTAAAGATTTGCATCGAAGCGTTTTTTTTTGATAGTGATTTTAATCACTGTCAGATATCATTATACTTGATCCAACTATGCCACGTCACCACTGTGCCGCGACCCCCCTGTGCTGGGTTTTTTTTTTTTTTTTTAACTTTATAATGCTATAACTTATTGAAAAGTGTATTGATCAATATAATTTTTTTATGGGAAATACTATTTTTTAATAATCCCTTTTTCATTCGACATACTTTATCTTAATCAGGATATTAATAAGGAACTAGCAGTTTATGAAGCTTTTGGAATAATCCACCAATTTTTTAAAATTAAACACTATCTAAAGATTTGCATCGAAGCGTTTTTTTTTTATAGTGATTTTAATCACTGTCAGATATCATTTACTTGATCCAACTATGCCACGTCACCACTGTGCCGCGACCCCCCTGTGCTGGGTTTTTTTACTATAAACTTTCACAACAATCAACTTTAAAGCATTAAAAAAATAGGTTAAATATGTTATTTTCATTATTTTTAACATATTAAAAATCAAAATTAGTAATAATTTGAAAACAAATTTTTATTTATATGTAAATACTCATTTTATATTAATTAGTAATAATATCAAAAATTAGAAATGATAGAAAAAGTCTAATTGCAGAATTGCAAACAGCGCGACAAGTTGAAAAAAAAATATATTTTTGTTTCAGATGAAAGTTCCTTATAGTCCAGTATATTTATTCATAAGTAACAAACATTTTTTACAAGCACTTTATTATTTTTATAATTATTCCTTATAAATTACAATATTAAATTATTGAATATCAATTTCAACTGAATTTAATTTCTGTAATTAGTATTTATTCCTATATTATTCTTTTAAATCAAAGAACCACTAATCAAGATATAATTAAGGAATAGGAGTTGATGTTACTTTTTTAATCACCGTCAGATATCGTCTATGCTTGTCCCAATCGTTTCACGTCCATACTGTGCTATGACCCCATTGTGATACCATTTTATTTTTTTAATATACCATAAAAAGTGATTTTTAATTTAAATAAAGTTTAACTTACCTAATATTAAATATTACTTAATACAGAATGACACAAACTTATCTAAAACAATGTTTTATTGTTGTCAATTGATGATAACATAAGAGGTTAAAACACTGATTAAATTAAAATAGTTTGTTTTCATGCTTTGGTCAAATTACATACTTACAAAATGTATAAGGTTTTCACCTAAATAACATTTTTGACAGAAACGATATTTTATTAGTTTAATAACATTATTAAATGCTATACTATTTTATTTACAAATCAAATAGAAAAAATTTACTCATTAATCATAAACTACTAACATAATTCAAAAATAAAACACGTTAAAAATCAGTGGTGTTTCGCAAAAAAAAAAACAAATCTTTTTATTTCAGGATATACGCTGAATTGTAAGCATATACTGTCGGCGAACAAAGAGGCAGGTAGTTCGGACCGGTTGACCTGCTGCCTAGCGTCACAGAAGGGATCGGTACTACCTACCAGGGAAAGGTAATGAGGGTGGCTTGTAGTCTCAACGACGGTCAGTTTTTCAGAACCCAGTAGAAGAAGAAGGTCGCAGCAGATATTTCACTCTTAAATATTACATATTTCTTTAGTTATTTTTGTTAAAAATTATTTTCTTAAATAAAGCAAGTCAATTTGTGTTTGACCATTCACTGTAAGTAAGTTTGTTTTTTATTTTATTGCATAGAATAAATTTGTCTACAATAGACAAATTTACACATAACACAATATTATTTAGAGCAATTCTAAATAAGTTAACTGCATGAGTTCACTTGCGCACAGCTACATTGGGCATAATTTACATAATCAGAAAGAAATAATTAGAGTGTGGTACCTTAACTGTATTTTAATTATTTCTGTTTTATAGTCATCGTTGTCGGCGCACTGCGGTGGTCGATTGACGTCTAGGGTACTCGTGCAAGGCGGTACTCTACTGTTATGTGCCATCGGTACTCTGCGGATACCATGACACGTTTAAGGGCACTGGCTCAGAGCGAGTGTTCTATTGTTCTTTTAGTAATCGTTGTCGGCGCACTGCGGTGGTCGATTGACGTCTAGGGTACTCGTGCAAGGCGGTACTCTACTGTTATATGTCGATGGTACTCTGCGGATATCACGACATGTTAAGGGCTATTTACGCAATACTCACAGATTAAGCTACACGACATAACGCATATAGTATTACTTGTTAACCAGCGTAGGTTACTCATGCAGTTAGGTTATAACGACATTTGATATATTTTACACATGGTAGAGTTTCATACTCTTTTTTTTATTATTTTATGATTACAGTCCACTCACGAGCATTAACATTGGCTCTTCGGACCGGATAACATGTCAGAGACAGCTTTTGAGAAGGCTGTGAAACGGCGTAATCGAGTTATGCGTCAAATTCAATCTATGAGTTTTTATGTACATGAATTCAACGATCGTACAGAAGTGGGCCATGCTCAACTTAAGCATCGTTATGAAAAATTACGTGAGCTTCAAGCAGAATTTGAAGTAATTCAAAACAAAATTGAAGACATTGCTGAAGATGACGAGCAGTTTGTCATAAGACGTAGTGTCGACGATCAGGTTTTTGAATTATTATCAGTTATATCAGCACAAATGGCCAATTTTGCTGAAACTAGTTCAGCAAAAGGGTGTCAGAGTTCCAGCTCAAAGACAACAACTAATAGACGAGTGAAACTGCCTGTTATACCACTGCCTACTTTCAGTGGACGCTATGATGAGTGGTTAACTTTCAGGGACACATTTCGCTCAATGATTCATGACAACAAGGATATTGACGAAATAGAAAAGTTTCATCATCTAAGAGCAGCTCTCAAGGGAGAAGCGGGAAAGGTAATAATGTCATTAGAAACAACTGATGACAACTATTCAATCGCATGGAGTTCAATTTGTCAACGTTATCAAAACCGGCGGTTAATTGTAGGCACTCACGTTGCGGAGTTGTTCAAGTTGCCAGAGCAGAAGACGGAAACTGCAAGAGGTCTTCGAGAATTAGTCAACAACTTAAATAGTCACATTCGTTCTTTGTCATCTTTAGGACAGCCAACGGACAAGTGGGACGCCATATTAATTCATTTAGTGACTAGCAAAATACATGCAGTTACTCTGCGTGAATGGGAATGTACACGAACTGACGACGAGCCGCCAACAATAAGTGAGTTCGGAGATTTTCTCGACAAAAGGTGCTTGATTTTAGAATCTGTTGAGGCGGCTAGTCATATTAAGTCCAACGCGGAAACTTCACGGGACAAACCAAAGGAGCCAGAGAGAAGGCGTCAATGGTCAAAGGCATTTGTTGTATCTAACAAAGAAGCACAGCCGGCAAAAAGGCGTCAAACTGCGGTCTTACAGACGACAACAAAACTGTCGTCGTGTCCAATCTGTAAGGGTAATCATTGGGTGTATAAGTGTGAAAAATTAGCAACAGGCACAATTGATGAGAGAGTTCAACAAATTCGTGAGGCCAGGTTGTGTCTAAACTGTCTTCGACCAGGCCACTATGCTGCAGTTTGCAAAAATGGCAGTTGCAAATTGTGTGGAAAGGGTCATAACACGCTTATTCACCGAAACAATGAAGTGGCCCAGGCAGAGAAAACTGTAGCAAATGTAGCAAAAGCTGAAGGCGGATCGGTTTTGCTGTCTACAGCGATGGTTCGTGTTGTAAATACACAAACCGGTAAGTCTTGTATGGCCAGAGCACTGCTAGATTCTGGTTCGATGTCTAATTTTATGACGAGACGGTTGGCAAATTCACTACAACTCTATCAAGAAAAAACTAATCTCACCATCTTCGGAATTGGTAATTCTTCGAACGGGGCCTTAGGTCGCGTTCATTGTCAAATTCAGGCAACAAATTCGACCTACAAACAGCGTACATCGTTTGTATTACTGAAGGATGTGACAGATCGTATACCAATAGCACGTGTACCGTTAGCGTCTGTTCCGATTCCTAGTCAAATTCAACTCGCAGATCCGAAGTTCAATGAGCCGAGTCATATAGATTTGCTGATAGGCGCAGAACTATTCTTCACATTGCTCAGAGGAGAACATGTTACATTATCGGACTCTATTACGTTGCAAAATACGGTGTTTGGTTGGGTAATTGCGGGACGCGTAAACAGTAATGAAAATACAGAAACAAATATTCAGTGTTTCACCGCGATTACACAGCCAGACGAAGATTTAAACACACTTTTGCGTAAGTTCTGGGAGCTTGAAGAACATAATGACATGACGATACAAAACTCAAAAATAACAGCGTGTGACAAATTTTATAGAGAAACAACACGGCGAGATACAGACGGACGGTATGTAGTAAATTTACCGCTATGCAACGAAATCTTGAAAAATCTTGGCGACACGAAAACAATGGCAATCCGTCGGTTCTATGCATTAGAAAAACGATTAGAATCCTGTCCAGAGACAAAGTCGGCCTATACACTATTTATGAAGGAGTATGAGGCATTGGGTCATATGTATGAAGAGACACAACCGATAAGACGGACATTACCAGAAGCATACTTGCCACATCATTGTGTGATTAAGGCAGAGAGTACCACCACCAAACTACGCGTGGTTTTTGATGCGTCAGCAAAAAGCACAACGGGAATCTCACTAAATCAATCAATGATGGTCGGCCCCACAATTCAAGAGGATCTATTCAATATTCTAATCAGGTTCCGGCTACACTGCTATGTTATAACAGGGGATATTGAGAAAATGTACCGACAAGTTAAAATATGCGAACCGCACCAGCAGTTACAAAAAATCATATGGCGTGATCGACCCACCGAAACATTAAAGACGTATGTTTTGACCACCGTAACATATGGTACAGCGGCTGCGCCGTACTTGGCTGTCCGAACCTTGCATCAGCTTGCCGAAGATGAAGGTGATAGCTTACCAGTCGCTGCCCAAGCAATAAAACGTGATTTTTATGTTGATGATTTATTAACCGGAGCTGACACACTGACAGAAGCTAGACGCCTGCAACGTGATGTTAGTTCATTATGCGAAAAAGGCGGTTTTCTTTTACGAAATTGGTGTGCTAACCATACTAGCCTGTTGAGTCATTTACCAGAAAATCTAAAGGGTACCATTCACAAGTTAAATTTTTCGGACAATATGGTCACTAAGGCACTTGGGGTGAATTGGGTACCAGTTACAGATAGTTTACACTATAAGGTCACGGAATGGAAACCAGCGAAAACAGTGACAAGGCGAGTCGTCACTTCAGAGATCGCTAAGTTATTTGACCCACTGGGATTGATGGGTCCCATTATTGTTACAGCAAAGATTTTTATTCAATCTTTATGGCGCCTCAACACAGGATGGGACAGCCCATTGCCGCTCGAATACACCAAGCAGTGGATAAAATATCGTAAAGGTTTAGTAATATTAAACAATATTACTATTCCTAGACGGTCAACTATCTCTACGAAGCAAGGCATTCAAATCCACGTATTTTGCGACGCGTCCGAGTTGGCATACGGCACATGTGTATATATACGCTCGACAAACGATGACTCAATCGTGTACTGTCAACTGTTATGTTCGAAATCACGTGTAGCCCCATTACGAAACACTACTATACCACGTTTAGAATTATGTGCCACGTTACTGGGTGCCAGACTACTTGACAAGGTAAAGACGGCACTAAAGGGTGTGGTGAAAATTAATCGTTGCTGTTTATGGAGTGATTCTACTGTGGCATTAACATGGATAACTGACCAACAAGGTAGTCGATCATGGAAAACATTTATAGCAAATCGTGTAGGCGAAATTCATGACCGAACGGCGGGTTGTGAGTGGTTATATGTCAAAGGAGAGGATAATCCAGCCGACGTTATTAGTCGGGGAATTTCTGCCTCACAATTGGCTGAAAACCAACGTTGGTTCTGTGGGCCTGAGTGGCTAACATATCCAGAAGACGCATGGCCAAACAATACTAAACCCCAAGTCGAAGAGCCTATCCCTGAACGGCGCATACAACAAGTCAGTTTGATCAGCACTGAAGTGACGGACGATACGATTCTCAAACGGTTTTCACGAGTAGAACGGCTACAACGGGTCACAGCATACATGTTACGATTTATTAAAAATTGTAAAAGAGAAAAAACAACAAGATTCATTGGTGAATTATCAGTATCAGAAGTACAGGACGGATTAAACGTGTGGGTACGAAAATCACAACACACGGCATTTTCAACCGACATTGACAACTTGAAAAATGGCCGAGAAATGAATAAAAATAGTAAGCTAAAAACACTGCACCCAATTTTAAACACATCCGACATCTTGCGTGTTGGAGGGCGGATTCAAAATGCACAAGTAGATTATGACGAAAGACACCCCGTAATACTTCCGGGGGACGAATTTACCAAAATGTTAATTGCATTTGAACATAGAAGATTAATGCATGCTGGCCCGTCGCATCTTCGAGCATCTTTGCGGCAACGGTTTTGGATTTTTGGAGATCGCAACTTAACTAAAAGAGAAGTTCAAAATTGTGTCAAATGTTTCCGTTGGAGATCAAAAACCGCCACTCAATTCATGGGTTCGTTACCCGCAGCACGCGTAAATCCATCACCAGCGTTTACCGTGTGCGGTGTAGACTACGCCGGGCCCTTTCATTTAAGAGTTGGTGGAAAACGAAGTCGAACAACTACCAAGGCATACGTAGCACTATTTGTATGTTTTGCCACACGCGCAGCGCACTTAGAACTGGTGTCAGACTTAACGACAGAAGCGTTTCTTGCCGCATTTAGACGCTTTATAGCAAGACGTGGAAGGCCTGTTGAAGTAAACTCTGACAATGGGACAACATTCGTCGGAGCTGATAATTTACTATGTGAATTCATACAACACTCACAAGCCACAATTGCTAAAACCGCCGCCCACGAAGGCATACAATGGAAGTTTATCCCTGCGCACGCACCGCACTTCGGAGGCTTGTGGGAAGGTGGTGTAAAGGCAACAAAATATCATCTTCGACGAGTGGTAGGTCAAGCAACGCTGTCGTTTGAGGAACTTACAACAATATTGGCACAAGTCGAAGCAGTTCTCAATTCACGGCCACTGTATGCATTATCCGACGATCCATCCGATCTACAACCAATCACGCCAGGTCACTTCTTAATTGGACGTCCATTAACATCATTTCCAGAACTTGACTATACAAAAATTAAGGCGTGGAAACAGAGATGGCACATGATACAAAATATGACACAACAGTTTTGGAAGCAATGGCAATCAGAATATTTACATCAACTACAACAGCGAACAAAATGGACGAAACCACAACAAAATTTACGTCTTGGTGAATTGGTACTAATAAAAGAAGACAATCAAGCACCACTGGCATGGAAACTAGGACGTATAGAACAAGTTTACGCGGGACCTGATGGAAAAATTCGTGTAGCAACATTAAAAACAGCAACAGGTTCAATCCGCCGACCCATAACACGACTCAGTAGACTGCCTATTGTTGAGCCTGGAAATTCATCCAGTTCAACAGGGTGCGGAAGGTCGGCGAACAAAGAGGCAGGTAGTTCGGACCGGTTGACCTGCTGCCTAGCGTCACAGAAGGGATCGGTACTACCTACCAAGGAAAGGTAATGAGGGTGGCTTGTAGTCTCAACGACGGTCAGTGTTCAGAATTAAGTAGATGAAGAAGGACGCAGCAGATATTCCCCCTTTGTTATATTTCATATTTATTTAATTGTGTTTCATTTTGTTATAAGTTATTTTCTTAATAAAGCAAGACAATTTGTGTTTGACCATTCACTGTAAGTAAGTTTGTTTTTTATTTTATTGCATAGAATAAATTTGTCTACAATAGACAAATTTACACATAACACAATATTATTTAGAGCAATTCTAAATAAGTTAACTGCATGAGTTCACTTGCGCACAGCTACATTGGGCATAATTTACATAATCAGAAAGAAATAATTAGAGTGTGGTACCTTAACTGTATTTTAATTATTTCTGTTTTATAGTCATCGTTGTCGGCGCACTGCGGTGGTCGATTGACGTCTAGGGTACTCGTGCAAGGCGGTACTCTACTGTTATGTGCCATCGGTACTCTGCGGATACCATGACACGTTTAAGGGCACTGGCTCAGAGCGAGTGTTCTATTGTTCTTTTAGTAATCGTTGTCGGCGCACTGCGGTGGTCGATTGACGTCTAGGGTACTCGTGCAAGGCGGTACTCTACTGTTATATGTCGATGGTACTCTGCGGATATCACGACATGTTAAGGGCTATTTACGCAATACTCACAGATTAAGCTACACGACATAACGCATATAGTATTACTTGTTAACCAGCGTAGGTTACTCATGCAGTTAGGTTATAACGACATTTGATATATTTTACACATGGTAGAGTTTCATACTCTGTTTTTTATTATTTTATGATTACAGTCCATTCACGAGCATTAACATATACCCTTCAATATAAATAGTAAATAAGTATTATTTTTCTAGAGTTTATGTTAATTAAAATAAATGTTAGAAGATTTACGCTATATACCCGCTTAAAGTAAAATTACTCGAAAATTTGTTGCACTGTAAAAAAACATTGCGTTTTAAAATTAAAATCTAGATTTTTTCATTTTACAAAAATTGACTTACCTTATTTTCTTTTGTGTACCCTTCATATTATATCAAAATACTTAATTTCTAATTTGTCATTGATAAAAAAAAAACAAAAATTTAATGAAAAGAAAAACTGTAATATATTCCTATACTTTATCATTAAAATATATAAAAACTATAATATAATCTCGAGTGTAGGTTATTTCTTTTTTTTTTTGCCCAAAATTATGTTTATAAACATGGTATAGTTAAGAACATATTTTGTTGGTCAAATCATCATTAACATTAATAAACAATGATGGTACTGACACATTTAGTGAAATCGGTAAATCTATAAAAATTATAATTCAATTTCGAGTATAGGTGATTGTTTTTCAGCTAAAATTATGAGTTTATAACCATGATATAATAATTCAATTGTTTAGTTAATTAATCAATTCATCTATGGACGGATCACCATTACATCGACACCAATAGCGATACAAAAAAAATGTGAAATTAGTAAGTTTGCGAGCTTCAAATAATTATTTACATTAATGAATAATAATAATTAAAATAATAATTGTATAATTATAATTATATTTAATAAAATCAAATAAACTTTAATATAACATTATATCACTATTTTATTAAATGAATCGGTCATTTCGAAAAGGCCATTTCTCCACATTTTTTCAAAACTGCTTTTATGTGATAGATGTGTATATTTAATAATAATTCATAATTCCTGCGAAACCGTCATATCTCCAACAACTCGTTTAGTCTAAAAATAACAAGTGCATTCGAAAAGGCCATTTCTCCAAAAATAACTTGATCAGCAATTTTATTTGTTAAAATTCTATTTTCATCTGGTTTATTGTCTATCTGTTGACGATAACAGTTGATAATAACAATAATAATTATTGTAATTATCAAGAATATAAAATAATAATAAGTCAATTTGAGTAAATTCGAAAACGAAACTGAGTCTACGATTGGTATTAAAATAAAAAATTAACTAAAAAGAAGTGATGTTGAAGTTCATAAATAAAATTATTACAAAGAATGCACAGTATATTTTGTAAGACTAATTAATTAATTTTATATGATAATATACAATAAACAATTGATCAGAGTCGCGAGGTCATAATCAATGAAAATTTACAATACATTGGAAAAGGCCATATGAAAAACACGTTCATTCCCTCATAAAATAATCCAATAGGTATAAATAGTCAATATTATATCATAGTTGGTTTTTTATAAGGGAATTCAATAATTCAACCCTTATTCAATTTTCATCTAAATTTATTTTGATCTTTAAAAACAGTTTTTTACGTTTCCAGAAAAATAAAATTTTATGGAGATATGGCCTTTTTAAAAAAACCGATTCAAATGTAAAAACTACTAATGATTTTTAACGCGATTAACTATAAAATTATATTTTTTTACTTAGTGAACTATTCTAAGTATTATTTTGTAGAAAGTGTGCAGGTAAAGACTGTGTTAAATGCAGCTAATTAAAAAAAATAATAAGAGATATGTTAAGCAAAATATGAATTACAAAAATATTTTTTTAAATTATACATGCAAAATATAATAATTCTTAATTATTGATAAATGATATTTTAATCTACTTTTTAAATTTAACTTGTTGAAGCTCTTAGCCTTTAATATTCAGTATTGACTAAGTTGATAAATCTTTGGTAAATGGGATAAGTTTGTCGTCTAATGGTTTGTTTTGGAATTCTGAAACTTTTTTGAAACCCAGATCTTCATAACAAGATTTGTAAACATCTTTACAAAAATTTTCAAAATAATTACACGCATTATAAATAATTTGTAATTCCCGTTGTAAATCTGAATTATTTGATATATTTTTTGAATTCTTAAAATCTGTTATATAAGCCATTTCGTTATTAAAAGGTTTATTAATATGACATTGAGTGTTTATTATACTAATTTCGCTATGTAATTCAGAACTAAAGTCGTTAAAATAGCTTATAAAAATTTCTAGAAGTTTTTCAACCATTTCGGTTTTTGTTTTATCATTTAAAATGATAAAGCTTTTTTGATAAAAATTATTGGTCTTCAATAAACGGAGAAAATCTGAAACCCATTTTAAAATGTTATGTAAACTCAGTTTAGAGCTAAAATTATCACTCCATATTGATGATCTATTTAAAGTAATTAAAGCTTCATATAATCCTTCAAGCATTTTTTTGGATTCGTTGAATGAGCTAAATAATTTAATCAAACAATTATGGTAAAATTCGTTTGCATCTTTATTGCATACAAATAATATAGCAGATAATAATGTACGATATTTTTTAATTATTTCTATATATCTACATCTTATTAATTGTGATACATGTTCTTTTTTTATTCGAAAATTTATATTATTAATTTCGTCTTTCATTATATAATCTACAGTGTATAGTTTTTCATAATAAATTATAATTATGTGATTCATTGATTCCCAACCAGATTCTTTACGAATAATATTGAGAGCTTTAATTCCATCATTTTGATTTGTTTCTGGATCAATTGGAGGTATGAATCTATATTAAAAATATATATTTTGATCATTACGTTAATACATAGATTATATAAATTTAATTATTATTAATGAGACATAGTTTAATTTTCATTCAGATTAATTAAGCAAAAGTGTTTGAAAATACAGAATTTATGTTTTAAATTATTATTCATATGTTAAAATATTGATAAATAAGAATACAATTTCTTAAAGAAATTTTTTAAGTTGATAAAATAAAAAAATAATATTTTAATAGTCTTTCTTTCATGAATTTCTACGAGCTAATTAATTCTTTTAAATATATAGCATGGATAAAGTTACGTCTAAAATTTATTACGCACAAAAATAGATTTTTAATCATTTTAAAAAAATACCGCTATACAGGGTGATTTTTTTATCATAACCCACTCAATTACTTTACTAGCCATAATTGGTAATAAACAATACGTGACTGTGACAGCGATGTCATAAGAATCATTTAGCTACCTGTATTTGTAATACCTTGTGTTTTATACATGTATATAAACTCAAAAATTTGAAACTTTCATTAAAATTCATTAAAAATTCAAATGCCATTTACTGTTGAATTAAAAACTCAAACATTTTATTAAATTAAAAATATGTGTTACCATTTAAAAAAACAAAGTTGACACCCTTACCAGGCATAAGGGATGAACTTAAAAAGTATTACATAGTTAATAATTCAAGAATAATGTGTAACTAAAGGTAATAATAAAAAAAAAAATTTTAATTATTATTATTCTGTAAGTAATTGAGTGGGTTATGATAAAAAAATCACCCTGTATATAATTTAAAACCATAGCACCAAAATAATGTCGTTGGGCAATCTTTTAAAAAGTAATTATTTATTTCAGATAAACTAACTATTTCAAATGATATTATAAAATATTGGGTTACTGTATTTATATTACAATTGCACCAAATTAATTTTTTTAAGTTTTTACAAAAGGAGTTGAATGTTTACTATAATACGTTTTACAAATGGCTTAGTCAAAAATAACTTAAACTTTAAAAATAAATTTCTTGTATTTACAAAAGACACATTAAGCTATTTATAATCAAATATAAAGTAATAAAATTAATTTAAATGTAGAAATTCTTACTCAGCTTTTATGGGTTCAAGAAATTGTTCAAAGCCTAAGTTCTTGTACCAAATATCTATAGTTTCGTCGTAAAACTTATTAGGTGGGTTCGAACATACACTGGAAGAGCTATTTTTCTTAATGCGTTCATAAGTTTCAATTTTTTTCAAATAAGTTTTTATAGAAGGGTCAATAATGTTAAGACTATTTTGAAGAAGATTGTTTACTCTTTTAGATGCATTATTATAAAATTCAAAAAGATTCGCAAATTTCGTAAATACGACACTTGTAGAAAGTTCATGTGATGATATGTTGTTATTAAAGTTGCTAGTCTCTAAATTTTCTTTTGAGACAAACTGATACATAAAGTCGATTTCATCAATTATAGCATGCGGCACGGCATTTTCAGAAAACAAAAATCTTATATCTATGTAGCTTATAAACTTCATAGCATTGTACAAACTTTCAAACATGGCCTTAGAATTATTCACCTGTTTTACTAGAAATATAACACAACTAATAAATTTTTTTACTGAATTGTTTTCATAAAATTGCTGACATTTACGAATGATAACATAAATGTGATAGAGATATTTTTTTACTATTTTAGTGTACATGAAATTGAGTGCGCTTATTGTACAACGATAATTATACGTAAAATCAAGCAGCTGGCTTGGTTGAAAAGCTTCCTCTACACCAGTAGCATTTTTTGAATCTTGTTTTTTATATGATCTAATTTGTGAATAAATGTGACTCACCACTCTTTCAATGTAATTTTTATAATTATCATGATAAGTTTTGCAATGAACTCCTTCATATGATTTCAACACGATAACGGCAATGGATATTAAAATAAATGATTTAAGTTTCATTGTAAAAAAATATTAATATGAAAAAATTACTTGTTTAAAACTCTTAGATTTATAATGAACATATGCAAATGTCTTTATTATTAATTTATATCACTTATTTGTTAATAAAAAATATGTATAAAGATTATAAATCTAATTTCTATGACAGTAAGAATATACTTCAACTAAATATAACTAGTTATTTATAAATTATTATTAAATATTTTTTTTTATGGGATGTGAAAATATATTATTGTCTATATGTCGATACATTTTTCCTTTGAAATACTTTAAATGTTTATATCTAATAAGCTAATAAAGTTATATTAAAAATTCAAATGCCATTTACTATTAAATTAAAAATATGTGTTACCATTTAAAAAAACAAAGTTGACCCCCCTCCAAGGCATAAGGGATGAACTTAAAAAGTATTACATAGTTAAAAATTCAAGAATAATGTGTAACTAAAGATAATAAAAAAAAAAATTTTTAAATTTTTATTATTCTGCAAGTAATTGAGTGGGTTATGATAAAAAAATCACCCTGTATTTATAAGACTTTAATTTTAAAGGAATACGCTATATTTTTAAGAGCTAGATTTAATTAATATTACTTACCTTTTATTGTACTTATTTTCAGACTACATAATGGCAATAGCATTATTTACATAATGAAAAGAAAATAGCATCGTTCCAACCAACTGTTTAATTAAACCGTTTCCAGATTCTGATAAAACAATTATTAAATTTTATTAATAGCCACTGGGACATGTCACCATTAATATATTACTTAAATTTGAAAACCCTGATGTATCATAAAAACTGCTTTGTATAAAAATATTTAAAAATAAAATTTTTAGTAAGAATAAACAAAATTATGAGTTTCAAATTGTTTTAATTTATGTTGTCAATATTTGTATTTAAGTTTTAGGTAAATTCAATGAAGCTTGCTAAAGAGTAATAATAGAATAATCTTCAATTTATGCAAATGAAATAATTTTAAAAAAACCAAAAGTATTTTCTGAATCGTTAATGTCTTCATCATTTAGCGATGAAAACAATTTAATCAATTAAAATTAAATAAGTTTTCAAATCATTATTATGTTATTTAGAAAATTATTATAGTATAATGCTTAAAACTAAACCAATGACTAAAATAATATCAAATTCATTTCGACCATAACATACAATGGAACTAAATAAATTTTATTTTTTTATTTTAATGCCTTGTTTATATTATACAGAGTGATTTATTTTCATAACCCGCTAAGTAATAAAAGTAATTTAAACATCTATTTTTTTTATATAAAAATTATAATTTAAGAATAGCCCCCTTGGATACCCTACTGTTGCATTGACATTCGATACGAAGCTGAGAAGGTATTAATTTTACAATGATGTGTTTTTTTTTTGTGTCTGATGGCACATTTTTTCAGCTCTTACTAGTCTGATTTTGATAAATAATATATCAAAAGATCACAAATTGTATCTAGTTGAAGATATTACCCTTAAAAATTAAAAAAATTTCCCTCATTCCCCGTAAATAGGGGAAATTTCCAATTTTTCAAATCGGTAAATTTCGTCATTTTTTTACTTTTTTTTCTTAGAACCAGTGCTCGAATTGGGGGGGTGCGCAGGGGGACGTAGCTCCTCTACTTTTTTTAAAATTTTTTTTGAGCACCCCAACTACTTTTTTTTATTGGGACGGGAGGACGGTGGAAAATACCACCTCTTTTTTTTTTTTAAATATTAGTATGATAATGAAATATGATTTATTAATAAATACTAAATAAAGTAATGAGTAAAAAAAAAAAAAAAGGTCTTCAAAATACTAGGGACGCAGTTTTCAAATTGTTAAGTTGAGCTCCCCTACTTATTTTTGGCCAATTCGAGCACTGCTTAGAAGTACCATAAATTTTTTAAACATTGACAAAACAACTTAATTTTTTTTTATATTAAAACTTTAACACATTTCTTGTTCATTCGATATCATTTTTTTGAAAATTTAACACTTAACCTGCTCACAGGGAGGGATTTAAAATGGCCACTTTTTTATGAAAATTAACATGTTCAACTTTTGAAATTGTTTCAGAAATACTGCGTCCTTTAAACATGTATCAAATTAAAGCTTATGTCATGTACTATAAAATGAAAAAAAAAAATTTTGTCCTGACACCTTATCTTCTACGTCAGGGGTCTTCAACCCGCGGCCCACGGCCTGCCCTGTCATAGGATGCGGCCCGCGATCACATTTGAAATTAAGCATGTATATTTCCTATTCCAATAAAATTATTACGGCTTAGCCATCGCTATCGGAAATATGCGATAAGATAAATTAAATTACCTACCTGGAGATAAATGTTGGCTGTTAGTTCGTAATCGATTGTGGAACGAGTATGATACTTGTATATTTGTATAATATGTCGGTCAGTAAAAAACATACAATCTCGGATGAAAGTCGTGTTTTCAAGAAAAATGGCCCCATAGATATTTTTTTATTCAAGTTAAAGAAAAGGCAATATGTTTGATTCGACAATAATCGATTGTACATTTTATTTTATTGGCGTGAACATATTTTTTCACGAATGAAAATTGTTAAATCTAAAACTAAAGTTCGGTTAACTGACATTCACTTGGAAAATTCACTCAGAATTGCATCGTCTCAGATCCAACCAAATATAAACAAATTAGTTAGTGAAAAACAATGTCAGTTATCACTCTAAAAATAAAATAAAAAATTTGTAATTAAAAAAAATGTGTTATCCATATATGTTTTATTTATAATAATAATTTAAAATGTAATCATAAAAATTGTAATAATAAAACTGAAATAATGTATAAAATACATGTTTTTACTACAATTGCGGGCCGCAAGATTATTAAAAAATTATTAAAAAAAAAGTTGAAGACCCCTGTTCTACGTGCAAACAGCTGCCGTAGTTAAAGAAATGCTATTTTTATGATAATATTTTTGATTTTAAATTTTCAACTTTAATTTGCTATAACTTTTAGAAAAATGTATGTATCAACACAAATTTTTTGTTATAAATACATTATATATACCTCTTTAAATCACCATACTTTTAATTTAAATTGGACAATTTCCCTTTATACAGGGGGCGTTCAAAACTTGAAACATACGGATAAAAATTAGAACTTTTAAAAATACTGCGTTCTTTAATCAAATGTCAAATTAAAGCTTATAATAAATACTATAAGTTCAAAAAAAAAAAATATTTTCCTACAATTTTTTTGCTATAGGAAAATGGTCGTTGAAATTAACGAAAAATGTAATTTTTATGTAAAATTGCCATAACTTTTTGAAAAACGAACAAATAAAAATGATTTTTGTTATATTGAAACCTTAGATATTTTTCTTTCATTTGATATAATTTTTTTTGACTAGTTGACTCTCTGCAGGAGGAATTCAAAAATCAATTTTTGCACACAAGTTAAGCTTTTTCAATGTGATTTTTGAAAATGTTCTGGAAATATTGACACTTTTATTTAATCTTAAATTAAAGCTTATATTAAATACTTTACTATAAAAAAAAAATCGAAATATAGATTATCTTTTCTTGGTCAAAAAGGCTACTGTATTCAAAGATATGCTATTGTGTTAAAATTCTGTGTTTTGTATTTTATTTTATTTTAAAATATCTTATAAGGGAAATACACTGACTTTCTTGAATATTATATAATTTAATTGACATAGAATATAGTTCAAAAGACATAATAAGTTAATCTTATTTAAATTTTTTTGCTTTTGAAGTGATCTATTACGATAAAAATACAAAAAAATTCGAGCTTTTCTGATAAATTTACCGTAAATAGTATTTTATAAAATTTTCTGACTCTATATTAATTTTAAAAATACCATTTTTTACTATTTAATTATGTCAATTTCAAACTTGCAAGTTGAGCTAAAAGTTATGGCAATAAATAAATTTTTTTTTTTATTATAAACTTTCACAAAAAAAATAAGTTAAAAATGATTACTTTTAACATATTAAAAATCAAAATCAATAATAATTAGAAAACAATTAATTATAAAAATTATATATTATATTTTTGTATCTAAGAATTCTCTGGAAAAATCTGGATGTAATTAAGGAAATAGAAGAAGATGTTACTTTTGTAATTATCCACTAATTTCATAGAATTAAATACTATTTACATATTTGTATAGGAGAGTTTCTTATGATAGTGATTTTAATCACTGTCAGATATCATCTATACTTTTCTCATTTATGCCATGTCCACACTGTGCCTCGATCTCACAGTGCTACCGTTGTTTAGTTTAAATTTGATATTTATATATTGTTTAAAATTTATTACAATAAAAATCAAGCCACTGGTTAATACCTCAGATTGATAAAAATATATTTCATTTCAAAAAATGTATTCATAACATAATGATACAATGAAAAATATTTACATAAATACTAAATATTTCAATGGGAAAAAATATGAATATTAATTTTAATTTTTATAATTTACAATTTCAATAATAAATGTAACATGAATTTAATATTATTTCAGTTATCGAGAGCGTAAACATTGTCTAGCTTTATCAAAAATTTCTTTTTTTAATTTAACTTGTTCTGGATTAGTAGCTATTAAATCAAGACATAACTCAACTGATTTTGTATAATTTTTTGTTTTATACAAGCATATAGCTAATTTGTAACCAATCTTAAAGTCTTTTTTTCCACATAATGCCCATGCTCTTTCATAGTAAGTCACTGAATCATCTAGAATAAAAAAAATATCACCAAATAATATTAATACCAACACAAAATGTTATATTTATATTAGCAAAGATACAATTACCAAATTTTTGTTCTTTCTCAGCTATTGAACTAAAAATTTCTAAGCCTCTAACTGACGATTTGTTATAAATAAACACTTTTTTAACTAATTCACTTGAGATATCGATTTTTCCACTTTGTAAGTATAATTCAGCCAAGAGTAACCAACTTTTTTCTAAATACTCTGCTTCTTCAAACTGCCATGTTGATTTGGCTACTCTTTTTAAAATATTACGAGCTCTTTGTGATTGTTTTTGATAAATAAATCCAAGAGCAATGCCTAATGTTGCAGCAGTTCTACACAATAAATTAAACACTCATAAAGTACTATTAAAAAGCTTTAATTTGATATAGGTTGCAAAAAGCAGACGTCCCGAAACATATAAAAAAGGATTTAAGTTAATTTATACTATTTAATTTTCAATAAGTTTCATCTATTTTCAGTTTAGGCATAATCAGAAAAAAACCATACTTATTTTAGGGTCATAGATTGATAAGTACTACCGGTTTATTGTAAAATCAAGTGTATAGTTTATCTTATTTTCATGAACCAGTAGTGATTATTGATATATGACATGATAATATTGCAGTCTTTTAAAAATTGGTATGTTTTTTTAAGATTTTCCTTAAACTCTAAGCAGATAAAATTCATTTAAAATCAAATAATATTTAAAAATATAAAATACAGTTTGTTTTCCAATTGAAATAAATCTGATATAAATAAAATTGGGATGTCATTTGAAAATCATAAGTTGATAGAATGAAGGATGATAGCATAAAATTAATTTTTTTTTTAAATAAAACAGATCAACAAAGATCAATTATGGTTAAAACAAAAAAAAATAATGATTATTTCTAATACTTTTAAAGATATTTCATGAGATGAAGTTAAGGAATCTGTATAATATTATTAAAACCATGAAAGATAATTTATATAAGTTACTTATATGATTCCTGCAACATTTCATTGAATAAATGATTTGCTTTTTCAATAGATTGTTTCTCTTTAGACATTAATAATATAAAAGCAGATAACAACTTGAAAATTTTCTTTTCTTCTGATGTGTTAGGTTTCATTTCCTATAAAATAAAAAAGTAATAATAAATTAAAATAGTTTAAAAATAATAAATATTTAAATTAGTTACTCATATATTATTAATATTTTACTTAATTTAATAATAAAATATAATCTTATTACTTATAAACAGGGTGACTAAATTACACTTGAAAAAATATGCTATTTTAAATTAATTTGTTTGAGGGTTACAAAGAAATCTCAAGCATAAAATATATGTAAATTATTTTTATTATTTATACATAGATATAGAACATAAATGTTAGTAATTTAATCTAGTATCTGTTAAAAAAAAATACAACAAAATTATTAAACTTGAATTAGACATAGTAATTATCCATAATTTAATTAAAATTAAACTAAATTTTAAATTAAATTTGTTATTTAATATTGGATTCCAGGGAAATTCCAAGCTATAAACAAATATATTTTTTATAAAAGCCCACTGAATAAATATAATCCTAACCTATTTTTTATTATTTTTTACTTACCTCCATTATTTTATTAGCTAAACTCAAATTTAAAGAAGACTCATCTAAGCAAATTTGTACCATATTATGTAATGATTGTTGTCCCCATTCAATATCATTTTTAGCTAAGTTAAAATGTTTCATTGCATTAACTATAGAAGTAGTAAACCAAAAATATAAACCATAACAATAATGAAAACCAGCTTGGTTTTTATGTTTATGAGTTGGTATCATGGTTGATTTTAATTCATCTAGACAATCAGTTCTCCGACAAACTTCAATTAAACGAGCTAATGCTGCCCAATTCGTTGGTTGTTTTTCTAAAAGTGTACAAAAATATTTTTTTGCAGTGATGAAATCACATCGACGAAATGAAAGATCAGCTACAATCAACATTGCTATATCATTGTTTTTGTCTTTAAGAAGAGAAGAACATATAATTTCACAAGAAGTCCAATCATTTACCTATATTTGGAATTATAGAATCTATAATTATTTGAATAAAATACTATTTATAAGTTTTCAATTAAATTATTGTTGAGTATAAATAGATAATGACTAATAATTAATAAATTTTTAAAATATTAAATTTAACTTACTTGCATATATAAATTAGCTAATTTTATTTTGATTTCTTTTGCTTCAACACTGTCTACTTCAATTAGTACCAGAGCTTGTTTATATAATCCTATAGCTAAATCATTTTTACCCAGATTGAAAGCTATTTCTCCACTACGTTTTAATATGTTTAAACGAATATTTAAATCTTGATTTTCCAAATAAGAACATTGCTTTAATATATCTAATGCTTCTTCTAAATTTCCTTTCTTCTCTAAAGCCTTGTAAAATTGTATAATGTAAATATTATATTAAATTACACAATAATAACTAAGTTATATAATATATATACAAATTTATTACATATGACATCGTCATCACTTTCACAGTTAACGGAAGAGGACCAAGTACTTTGAGAGCCATATCACATTGATTTAATTTGATCAATAAATTTGCTAAATCTAAAGCTCCTTCTTTTCCTGAAATTTATCAAGATAAAAAGTTATAAATAACATTTTTTTTTTTTTTTAATAGGTTTACCTGATTTATTATAATATTTTATTGCTTCAGCATATTGATGAGTTGCTACAAGAATTTCTGCCACTTTTAAGTTCATTAAATTATCACTTTTTATAGTTAATGCTTTTTTGGCAATTTTTATTGCTTCGTCTGGCTCCTAAATATATACATTTTTTAAATGTAAAGTACATTAAGTAATTTAATAAATTAAATATTAACCTGTATACTTATATAAGCATTAGCTAGAATAATCATATTTTCTACAGTAGGATTAGAATTTACTAGTTCTTGATAACATTCTGCATATTCAATTGTATCTTGATTACTATTGATATAAATATCGGCTTTCATTTTTTGTGCCTAAAAAAAAATGTATAGTAATAAATTTGTTAACAATTTTTTTTTAATTACCTACTTCATTAAATATGTATTGGTCTGGAGTGATTTTCATTAAAATAGACAATGCTTCGCTAGTATTATTATTATACAAAGCTATATTGGCTTCTGCTAATTTTATATTCCCTACATACTTTGTTCCATTTAAACTATTATATGCTTTTTGTACTGTTTTATTAGCATTGTTAAAATTGCCAATTACACAATAACTTTGACATAAATAAATAAACAATGTAGCTAAATCTTGTTGGTTTAGTTTATGTTCAACTACAATTGGACAATAAATGATAATTTACAAGGTTATATAAAAATAATAACTGAAAAGTACACAGATAAATATAAATTATATTGATCTGTGTAATGTTTTAAGTAAATTATATCATATTATTTACTTAATGAATATTTTAGTGCAGTTTCAAAGGAATTAATGCATTCTTCGTGTCTTTCATAATGCTTGTGAACTAATCCATTCAACATATGATATAATGGTAATTCACTAATAGATAAATTGTAACTGAGACCCAGATCTAAACTTTTGGAGGCATTAGTAAAATCTTTCTAGTTCAAAAATAAGTTAAAAATAAAAATTAGTTAAAAAGTGTAATGCCACAAAATTTTACTTCTTGAATCATGAGTTTAGCTATCATGAGATGTGCATCAGTATTGGTAGAATCCAATTCCAAAAGTTTTTTTAAAGAATGGTATGCTTCTTTTATACTTTGAATACTTGCTAGTAATATCCAACAATTAATTAAACCTGGACACAACATTAATAGTTTATTCAACATTTTTTCTATAAAACTATTATCTTTTAGGTGTTTTAAAAAAAACAATATCAGATCTGGATTCAGCTTGGTTAAATATTCAGGACCAAAAGAAAGATTTTCGACAAAGTCAAATAATTTGTTGATGGCTAGTTTTATTAACTCTTCTTTATCATTGACATCATTAGTACACAAGGCATTCATAAATATTAACTCACTACTTTTTTGACTACCTTGAATTTCATTTAAAATTTTTATTTTATCTTTCACCTAAATAATATAAAAAACTTACAGTAATTTAATATTTTAAGAAATACCTAAAATTAAAAAGGTGTAATTGATATTACTTGTGAGGTTATCTCATTCAATGCAATGTGACATAAAACAATTCCTTCAAGAGCTTTAGGTACAGGTTCTCCATTACTTGTAAGTTCGCTATAATACTCAATGGCTTCCTCATAATGTCCAGATAATAGTATTTGATAAGCTAATTCTAATTTATAATTTATATTTGAATCCATACTAATAGCTATTTTTGTAGCACGTATGCATTCATTGATAATTCCTTTATGTTGGCCACAGACACGAACCAATGCTGAAGACCAGTACATAAATATATGAGCACATGGTTCAGATTTTTCTACTATTTCAAAAAATTGATCAGGTAGCTCGTCATATTTTCCATTGACTACAATATTATTCAAAATATTGACCTAAATATTTCATTAATACTTGAGTTAAGTTAATTAATATATAAATTAATAATACATAAAAAATTAATTTTAGGTGCTGATAGCTTGAAAAATTCTGAATGAAGGCCAAAAAAATTTGTATAAAAAGATTTATTAAAATATAGGAAACTTCATTGAACAATAATTATATTTATGATAATATAAATAATTAAATATTTTTTTACAAAATTATTTAAAACTAAAATTTTGTAGTTCAAAAAATTGAGGCATTATCAAAGAAAATATACTAAGTCACTAAAACTGAACTTTACAGAAGAAAGAAATATCTATTAATTTAATGCAAAAAAGTTTTTGACAAGCATCTTTTTGTTTTATATAAATTTCAATTCTAAACAAAAATGTGTTTTATTTTTACACAGTCAATAGGATATGTCTTAACAAATTCTTCTTCTTCTTCTTCTTCAAAAAAAAAAATGTTTGAACACAGTACCTTACCTATGCCAATAATCAATTGTTGAAATTAAAATTAAAATTAATTTTATAAAATTCATACAAATTATTAAATATTTTATAAGAAAATTAATTTTATCTAAACGAGTTTCATTTTTATTTTTTATGAACAAAAATGTATTGAAATTTTAAAATTATATTTATACCTTAACTTTCCTATCAATTTTAGATAAAAACAAAATTAAAAAAAATAATTTTCCTAGTTTATTTTCATGTATAAGGAATAGCTCAGATGACTTAATAATAATTACTGAATTAAGAAGTAATATTAACAGTCAAACAATATTAAGCATGTTAGTATATTTTTTACCAAAAAACTTATTATTCATGTATTACTTCTAAATATTGTTATTTTTCATTACTAACCATAAGAGCTATTGAAGAGTCTGGTTCAATTGTTAAAATACGATCTGTAGTTTCAAGTACTTGCACCCAATCTTGTAAACCTAAATACAACCTAAGTTTTTCAATAAACGGTGGTAAAAAGTTTGGAAATTTGACAATTAATTGATTTAACATGTAAATTGCATCATTTGTGTCTACTGTTGCTACTTCTCCTAAATAAGCTTCAATTGAATCACTTTTCTAAAAAATATTGTAAATAATTTTTCAATTAAATTTTTAAATAAATAAATGATATTAATTTTTAATCACAAATTATTTTTGAATAGGTTGTATGAGACAAAAATATCTTGTGATATATGAAGACATATTGTAATAAAATACTTAGTAATTAAGCTTAGGGAATTGTAGTATTATTTATCATACAAGTATACAAAAAAGCTTTAAAATATTAAAGTTAAATAACACTCAAACATGTATTTAACAAGCAATCAAGCAAGCAGTAGATAACATGAAACTACAACTAAACTCATCAGACAAAAAATGAAATTAAACTCATTAATGTAACAATTAATCGAGTTATTAGAAGACTACATAACTTTGGGCATTTATACATAATTAAGTAAAGTTATAAGTTTTATATAAGAAAAGATTTTAATCAACTGCAAAAAAAAAAATTAAAAGAATGTCAGCACTTAACCATTTCATACAAGATTACAAGTTTTTAGTCTAATATGATAAAAGAAGCATACCTAAAAATATATATAGAATGTTCAGTAAGCAACGAAACAGGTTGCTATTATTCTCATTGTTTGTAAAAATTGACCTGTTTCCTGACTTACTGAATACCCTGTATAAAAGTATTGTTATAGCCTTTTCATGTGTTATAAAGTGAACAATAAAAAAATACAATTATATAAATTAATTTACTTGGGATAAAACAGCTCTAAAGCAACTTCTCGAGCTTTTATTATGGTAGCATTTTAATTCTAACCATCCTTTAACTAAATAACCATTAACAGAACTGGGAAAATCCATTAAAATACGTTCAACATAACATTTTGCTTCTTCCAGGCGTTCACAAAGAATAAGAACGTTTGCAGCATGATATAATACATTTTCAGTGATATTAAAATTCTTAGCAGCAGATTCTAAATTTTCAATTGCACTAGTGTCAGTTATCTATTAAAGTAATTCAAATATGTAGAAAAACAAACAAAACTTTATTTTCGGTTTTAAAATATCATTAAAGTTTATTGATGAATTTATAAATAATTGTTATAATTATTTGAGTAAAATAAACTAATATTACTTCAAACTTCTTATGTGCATGTATCATACAAAGTAAAGTCGCCAAACCAACATCAATATCATTTACAGTTGATTCCAGTGTTGATAATCCTACAGAAAGCTTATTTTGAAGTATTAAAGAAAGTCCTAAGTATAGTTTGAAAGATGCATTCTTATTGTTACTCTCTATAGCTTTAGATGTAGCATGCTGGGCACTGTAGTAAAACTTATTTCTAAGAAAATACTGAATAATTTCTAAATCCATAATAGTGTATAAATATATATATTTAATTAAATAAATAAAATTTAAGTCATATAGCTATTATATATTGTAAAATCTACAATTTAACAAGAAATAAATACAGCCTGATTCTGATTACTCTACTAAAATAGAACATATTTTTTGATTATGTTTTTTCATTATAATTCTGAAAAAAATTTGAATTTCATTGATTTCTGATATTGATCCTAAAAAATATATAAATAATTAATGTTTATATTATGAAACAATAAAATCTAAAATTCAATATTTTTACATAAATATTTTTTTTGGAAATCAGGTTTGAAAATGCTTGTTAGTTAAAACAAAGCATATTTTAATATTTATATATTACTTATGGTATTATTTTATTAAATTATCATTTATTTTGATCTGTTCAATTTAAATTTGATAGAATATAGTTAAATAGATATTAAAAAATCTTTGTTTATTTTTAATACATAGATTTTTATTTAGTAATAAAAACATTTTATTTAATGAATTATAGTTTAATAATATACAAGTCATCATTTATCTCATTGAAAAATATAACATATATTCTATGTAAGTTTCTACAAATATTTACGTGATTAGAGTATTAACTCAGTAAAAGAACCCAAGATAAGAATAAATTCAATAGAATTTGTTAGTCGTATGGAATATGACAACATGTATCAGTAAAAAAAGTATGGAAAAAAATAAAAAGCATAAAACAAATATTTCATTAATTAAATGGAAAACTATTAAATATATTTTACTTAAGACATTAATCTGTAAAGTTTTTTAACTTATATTGAATTAGAAAAACAGTCACAAGTAAAATAATAAGTCTGTTACTATAACAACCAATTATTCACAACAAATAATAATAATTGCAAGTACTATATAAATGTAACACATTTTAATAGATACAATTAAGGGATCCTTTGGCTCTATCCTTAGCATCCTTTGGGATAATTTTAGCACCCTGTAGCAGTTTTAACCATTCTTTTAACATTTTTTAAGGATAAATAATATAATTTCTCATATTATCATAAAAATAATTACTATTTTTTTTGAAATCTTGTTTTTTAATATTTTGAGTGTACAATGCCTAGATTTAGTGTATGTATTTTGTTTAAAACATAGTAATACAATTTGGTTTCAACAATTAAACATAAATACATTATTTCACGGTTGAAGTTCAAATTTTCAGTGGTAGGAAAAAAATGTATGTATATTATACAATATATATTATAACATATTTATTAATAAATAAAAATAGGTTAAATACATCATTTTTAGCAAAGTTAGAAAATATTTTTTGGTCTTTGGAACTTAAGCATCTACAAGTTTTTAAAACACTAATTACGCCTATGTACATTTTAATGATTAAAATTAATTCATTTTTATAGCACTTTTAAACAATTTATAATAATATAAGTTTTATAAAAAATGTTAAAACAAGGTCTAAGATAATAAAACTAAATATAAATCTTAAAATAAAGAGTAACACAAATTTCAAACAATTTACCTCGAAAATACGATTTCCTTTGAGAGCATAATCATGTTATTTGTAATTGAGAAATTAAGATAAGTTTTATTAAACTTAATAAATTTGTGTTCATGATTTATGGGCACTTATCGAGGAATTCACAACTCATAAAAATCTCAAAAATAATAATCCTTCAAAAATATTTTCTTTGACTAATTCGCATTCACAACAATAATTCTTACAAATTTAAAAAAATAATAATTTTATATAATTATTATTTAAAATTATAAATAACGTACATGTGATAATGATAAAGTTATCAATGTAAATAAGATAAAAAGAATTCAAATATAAAGAGTGGAACAGATAATACGTTTAGTTGTTCTATGATAGTAGATTTTTTTGACGTCTTTTGACGAAAATGAGTGACTTACGTGAAAGCAATGATTTCTGATCCAATTTTAAGTTAAATGTGGCGAAAAACTATCGGAAATCCTTTGAAAATTGCATATGGAATCGGTAGATAACAATACATGTAAAAGAGCTATTTCAATTTTTCATTTAATTCAATTTTTTTTGATGCTAAACTAGCAAAATAATTAAATTATACATTTTTTTGTCGGTTTAGATTAAAAATTGTCTATATAATAATTTCTATATATTTCAAGTAAAACCATAAAAACATATATCTAGTATGGAATAGTTACTTCTCAAAATGTTAAAAATTAATTTTTGATAGATATGGACTTGAGTTGGTAAGCAGAGCCTGTAGGCGTAGGTGATCCAAAATTTTTTTAAAGTATGAAAAAAATGCACAATATTTTGGAAATTTTCGAAATGTTGAACTTTAATGAGCTCTCGTGGGTACTTACACCTTAAAAATTGTAGACAAAATGTACAACGAGGAGAATATTAAAATCTTGTGTGAGATTTGATATCCAGTACAAAATAGAACAATGTTGACAAAAATGTCATGCTGTTTCAACGCTATATACAAACTAATGTACTACAAGTTTTTAACCATTCTTAACCAACATTTCACTTTTGTATACTCGTAAACGTAAAAGAATAAATTAATAAAAAAAAACTGTAAAATCGTATTGGAACTATACTGCATTCGTTTTATTTTTAATATTGATCAATAATAATTTCTTAAGATTACTGCCACTAACCACTAAGCTTTAATGTACATGTCTTTATGATAGATAAATAAAAAGATGAACGAATATTTTTTAAATATTAGGTCTAGGATTAAGGATTTCGGTAATATATTTTATAGACAAACAATAAATGTATTGAATTCAATGAAAAATTTTATGGAAACATTTTATTCTTTGTTTTTTTTTTGTTTAAAATGTTTTACAAAATCAGTAAGACATGTAGTATCTATTTATGTTACGTTATTATTGGCATTGTTATAACTACAATAGTTCGACAACGTATACAACTGTATTAATATCCTTTAACTTAACATAATTATTTAAAGTTCTACGAAATAGAATATAATTTTGCTTTGTATACTATTAATATTAAAATGGGTTGATTATAAATACATCGCTTTTTTGATTTATAGTTGTTCATATAATTTTTATCTTGTGTAGATTAATGTTGCATAAGTCATAGTTAAAAAGTTATATAAGTAGATGGCGCTGTATTAAGCAAAGACTTGAGATAATAGAGTTCTTCATATAATATTTTGCAATATTGCGATTAATGTGTAAACAATTTCATGTTTGCGTTATCTAAAAGAACAAAAAAACAGTTTGTGACATAATGAATAATTAATTTTATGTCACTATTTTACTTAGTAGCTTCTTGGTAACATTATCGAACATGATTGTCAAACAAAATTATGTCTGTTCCTAAATTTATCACTATATATTGATAATTTAAAAATAAATCAATATGAAATCATTTTTTCAGCTATCTAAACTTTTTTGCACTTTCATAATTTTTTTAAAATCCGTGAATACGTGCCATGATTTACATACTAACTTTTTTCAGCATTTTTCTTCAAAAACTCCTTACAGATACATAGCAAATTACAATACTTCATCAATAGAGTATGAAGGTATATATATTTTTTATATATATTTTATATAGTTGATAAATTTTACCATTTTTTTAGGCTGTAAACCATGGAAAATTTGGTTAGTTCAAAGACATGGTACAAGAACTCCAGGTAATGAATTAGATAAATTTGTTCGAGATAGATTACCTAAAATTCAAGAAGATATTTTAAACAATTTGAGTAAAGGTAATTAAAAAATTAATTTAAAACATCAATATACATTTTAACTAATCTAGGAACTATTTTAGGGGAACTATGTAGTTTTGAAGGAATTAAATTATGGACTTCTCATAAAGAACTGGATAGCCAAAAAAGGTTAACTTCAGAAGGACAGGATGAACTTTTTGAATTTGCTGAACGATTACAGTTACGATTACCAACACTTCTTGACCAACCTTATCAAAATACTAATTTTTTGGTATAATCGAACTTTATTAATTTGTAAATTGTAAATAATAAGAAAATTCTTATGTTTTTATTTAGTTTAGGTATACTGATACTCAAAGAACTGACGAAAGTGCCAAACAATTTGCTACAGGTCTGTTTGGTCGGATTGAAGTAAAAAAAGTTGTTTTTACAAAACCTCTTGATAAAGATCCTCTACTAAGAGTAAATTATTTTTTTTAATTTCAACATCATTTATTTTTATATTTACATTTTAATGGTGCTTTTTTACCTATCAATGAATATTACAATTTATTTAACTGAAATCCTTCAACTAATAAAATTGTAAGGTTCCTCTTGTTGAATACAATTGCTAAGCAAATATTAATTTTATTTTTCATTGTTTTTTATTTATTGAACTTATAAATATTTTTAATTAAAATATCTCAAAAGACCATGATAATAACATAAAATTTGAGTTTTGTTTCTGACATTAATAAAAAAAAATGAGGTATTATTTGTATTTTCTTTTTAATTTTTAATATTTTATTTTAATATCTTACTAAAAGTTTCTATTTTATTTAATTTTAAACTGTTCCACTCTGCATTTCAATTTTTTCATTTAATTCAATTTCTTTTTATGCTAAACTAGCAAAATAATTAAATTATAAATTATTTTACCTGTTTAATATTAACATTTTCTGATTTAACATAATACAATTAAAAGAACTCTCGTCACCTTCTGTACAGACTTGAATATCAACTGTCTGGTATTTATTTCATGATGAAATAAAATCTTACTTTGTTTTTCCAATTTTCCTAAAATATTTATGCTACTTAAAAGTATTATCGAAATATTGAAAAAAACTATATTTTAGATTAAAAATATATATTAATATAATATTATTTAAAAAGTAAATTAAAAATACATTTCATTATAATGATTTTTTTTTTTAATAACACAATTTTTTGTGGGCTGGTTGCTTTTATTTAAAGTATTTTTCAATGTATAACTCAATATTTATTATGAAATTTTACTTAATTTTAACTTTTTTAATTTAGTTTTACAAAGTATGTCAAAAATGGAGGCAGAATGTAAAAAAATCCCCAAGTGCAATTCTGGAGTATACAAAATTCACATTGAGTGACATTGTTAATACAACACTTTCTGATTTGTCAAAAAGACTTGGACTTAATTACACACTATCCTTTAGTAAACATTTTTTTTATTCATTTGAGTTAAAAATTGAGTTTTTTGATCAATTCTTAATTTCTGTTTCTAAACTTTAGAAGAGGCTAAAAATATTTACTCATATTGTGCTTTTGAAACTGCTTGGGAAAAGATCAAAGTTTCACCATGGTGTTCAATTTTTAGTGAACTTGACTTTAAGGTAATATATATTTTATTTAATAATTAACTTATAAATTGTGTGATTTTCAGAATGTCTTTTTAATTTAATTTTTAAAATTATTTTAGGTTTTTGAGTACAGTGAAGATTTGAAACATTATTTGATTGATGGGGATAAATATGAATTGACTTATAAACAAGCATGTGTTTTATTAAAAAATGTTGTTGAACATTTTGAGTATGTTATTGTTTTAATAATATATTATTTATTTAATATTTAATTAAGATACATTTTTTTTAAACTGATTTATCTTACTGAAAAAATTGATCAACATTGTTAAAGTGTTTAATAACAATGTAATACTATTTTGATTTTTCTATGTAGTGATGATAAATTAGATAGTCATAATGGAATTTTCTATTTCACTCACTCTGGAACAGTTTTGAAAATGCTTGGAGTTTTAGGTTTGTACAAAGATAATGATAATTTAAGACATGATAACTTTTGGGAAATGGAAAATCGACAATGGAGAACTTCAAAAATTGATGCATTTGGATCAAATTTAATTTTTGTTTTATTCAAGTAAGTTGCACAATTATTTTATATTAATATTATTTAAAAATTAATTTTTTTTAGATGCTATAATGATATGAAAATATTGACATTGCATCAAGAAAAAATTATAAGAATACCAGGGTGTGAATCAGATCTTTGTTCTTATGATACATTTAAAAAAATTTATCAAGAGAAACTGAATAATTGTGATTTTAACAAAATGTGTAACATTGAATAACCAATTTTTTATTTTTATTGTATTATAAATAGTATATTTATTTATAACTTTAAATATTTTACCAGTGATTTATTATGAACGAATTTTTTTAATAATTGAATTCTGTCAATTTGTTAAATTTAACTATGTCATTAGTGATTTAATTATTTTATTGATATTAATTTGAAATATATTTTTATGATGATTGTAAGCTATTATGTGATGTGTGTAGTATGAATATAACATATATAATATAAAATTTATTATCTTTTGTTACAATAAAATATTAAAAGTTATAACAATTTTAGGACAAGTAATCATTAGTTGCAATAATTTTAATACATTGAATGCTTATGTAATGAGGATGCGGAAGTGGCATGGTGAGTGACTGATTTAACAATACAATAATTGTCTGAGCTGAAAAAATGTTTGTATCCAGCACTTAGTAGGATAGTCAACAAAGGAGTAATTTTGGTGAATAGCAGAAAAAATTCCCAACCAATTTTTTTTTTTTAAAGTCGAGTTAAGATATGTATAATGATATACTAAAAGTCATCTTAGTATGTTATCATTTTTTTCACCTAAGACTAGTGGTCTTATATTTAAAGTAGCATCCCCACCACCAGCGCCCACGAACCATTACTTAATATCAGTATATATAAAGAAAAACTAATTAAAGAAATCTATTTGTATTGTCAACATTTCTTTGATTTTGACATTCTTGGCTTCAAAAAAATGTTACAATCTAACCAAATAAAAATGTGAATTCCAAAAACAAAGAAAATTCATAGAACTCCACATTGAATAGCACTTTTAAAATTATCCTTTACAGAACCAAATATCAATACATTTAAATTACAAAGAAAAAAATTCTAGAAGAACAAAAAGCGTCTGAATTTATTACTTTTCAATAACTATTACCCTTATTGTAACTCAAAACATAATAAAATAAAGAAAAAGGTTTTTAAGAAAAAATGAGGTGGTCATTCAACCACTTCTGGATAATTTGGCATGGATTGACCCTTTTCCTTTATTTTATTATGTTTGTGGTTCGTGGGCGCTGGTGGTGAGCATACTACTTTAAATATAAGACCACTAGTCTTAGGTGAAAAAAATTTTCAAATTAAATATAATAAAATAAAACATAATACACATATTATTATTTTGAAAGTCGCAGTAGAAATAAGAAATGAAAATAATAATAGCGTTTATACAATTATGGCAACCCTTGTATAATAATATAATTATTTACAGTAATATGCTAAGTAATGTTCCCAGAAAAGCTTTGTTCTATTACATAATAAAATTTTACCGTATGGACGACGCTGCCGGTTGTCAAAAAACCGTGTATAAGATTGCAGCTGAACCGCACGCACACAATTGCAACCCAACGCTTATGACATGCGTTTTTGCATATTGTTCGGACGACGCTGTCGGCGTCCAAACACTGCTCGTGGTGCATACGTACCCGCAAATACTAAGGGAAACAACTTCAATGTTCGTACACGACAAATGTATTATAACTATTTCAAACCACGAGCCGCCACTGCTGATATTGTATGAGCACTTGATACATTGGTTTTTACTTTTAATTTGAATTTCAAAGTCTTCATCAGGTGAAGCTAATTCGTCGTTTAACTAATTATTTTAACCACAATTACTAGTATGAATTTCATAATTCACATTGATCTTTTGTATTTTATAATGATTTGAAATAGTTGAAACTTGTTTTAAAATTGTAATTTTTTTACAAAGTTATTTCTTTTATGAACCAATTATGAATTTTTATGTAAAATTGTAATTACTAGAAAGTAAGATTATACTGCCAAATACTTTAATTGTAGAAAGCATTATAGTATTAATATTTAATGTTTAGTGTAAATATTAAAGGAAACTTGACACTCTTCTCGGTGGTTAGTGTTCAAACAGTAAATGTCACATTATAATTGTTATTATTTTGACTCTTCCTGACAACACTTATCCACGTGATCGAACTTGGACTTAGAACATCCAGTTCATCACACCATTAAATAATTTTTGCTTTCATATGATTTGTAAATTTATAATCAGTTATAAATTATGAATAAATTACATAGCAATAATATAATGTGTAATATTTATTTGACTTAAAAATAATGAAATTATAAATATATTGATGTAAACATTTTTTTTTTTTTTTTATGTAATTCATTTTCATGATATATTTAACAGAAGATCTTATACGGTTTTTAAAAGACCAATAATATTAATTTAAAGAAATATAAAATATACTTTAATGATATAAAATGTTTCTTTTAAAATTAAGAAAAAAATGTGGAATATTTTTCTTATAGGAATCTAAGTTAAAATTAGAAAGTATAGGTTTATTAAATGTTTTTTGAAAACTTATAGTATTAATGTCTAGTATTATTTTCATAGTATTACTAATATTATAAAAATAAGTCGAATATAGTTGAAAACGACTTGATGGTTTCGCATATACCTGTAAAAACTTACAATTGCCTTTAATAGATTTATTTTATTTTGGATTGACATCTGATTTTTTTCAATTTTCTTATTTGAATTTTTGTCTGGAATAACTAAGGAATTTGAATACAGTTTTTTGATTTTAATTAATGCTGGTGATATAAAATTAATTAATGTATTTGGTCTAATACATTCATCTATTTGTTTGTTTAACTTTACATTCTGTGTTAAAATATTAGATTTACTTAAAAACGGAAAAAAAATTTTCAATTACACTTTGTTTATTGGCTGTTTTAATTCCAGAAAAATATTTAACTGTGAATTATTATATTGTGTTATCTTCTATGTGTACAATGTTTGGCTTACTTTCATGTGTGTGTGTGTGTGTGTGTTGGTGTTTAAAATTGTGTTATTAGAATTTTCATTATCTTTTGTTTTTATTCACAAATTGTTTTCGTTAATAATTAAATTATAAATTTCATTATTATTGTCAATATTATCGGACTCTTTTTTTGTTTGTGTTTAGAATTATATATTTTTTAATTGACTATTGATTCAAAATCTGTAAAATTTATTGTTTTTAAAAGAATATCTCTTGATGGTTTGTGCGATTGTGTACCTGGAATCCAGTGTGTGTTTTTATCTACATTGTATGACTATAAATGGACGATTGCCTAAACCATAAATGATTCAAGTTTTATGTGTACCATTAAAAATGTATATATCATGATTATAATGGTTTGCAATAGCTGCTAATTCATCATCACTAAACCAATAATTAGGTAAATTAGATAATTGTAAAAATTGTATTATTTCAAAATTAGAAGTTACTTTTTCAATTTTCCCATCATTAAGTGTGTTTATAATTGTAAAAAATCCACAATTATTTTCGCTATAAATATTTCCTCCCTTTTTATATGATTTAAAAAATTTTAAGTTATCAATATTCTGATTATAATTATTGACTTTGTCTGATGTATTTTTATCATAAAATTGTTTAATTGTTTTTATAACTGCATTATGTTCTTCAGTTTTCCAATCATTAGTAACATATTCATTATTTTGATGACATTAAAATATTATTACTAATGTTTATGAAAATTATAAAAATTATTTATTTAATTATGGTCTATTCTTTTTTATCTAGGCCTGATGCTATTTTAGGCATTGATATTTGTAGTTTTAAGTGTGTACACGGAAATTTATACATACATATTGCTAATGATGACATCAAGTGCTTGATTCATCGTATAAGAATATTTGTCTTATCAGGATAATAAGAGGTAAGTGTGAACATTAATTTTTATGATAAAACCATAATAATACCTTACTTATGTATGTGGCTATCTAGTTAAGAAATCACTAGAAAAACATGGGAAAACACCTTTGCCACGAACTGATAATGCTCCGACATTTACATACTTTGACATTTGATAAAGTAGTAATTGTTACGAACATCTGGTACTCCAACCATCTGATACCATAGGTTACTAAAATTACGACGGATTTTACTCCGACATTAAATTAAAAAAATGAGACTGCAAAAACTTCGACATTATCGATAGTTTGATTATGCATCGAAAGTTATATTATATTTTGATTGTATTATTAGTAATAGGGCACATCGATCGTATATGTTGCAACGTCAGGATCACGTGGCTACAGAAACGCTACATTATTAAATTAATTATATTATTATTAATAATATTGTAAAATTAAAATTAAAATGTTCTATTAAATTAGCATTTATTTGCTACTATAGTTATTATACAATTATATACATATTGCTTATTATTTTCTGATACAATTTCTCACATTTGACAAATGTTATTAATACTCGAATGATAATAGTCATTCATTAAGTAACATAAAATTAAGTTTTTAATATAAATGTACATTTTTGAAAAAGTTTTTTCTATTGTTAGAATATATATTTATCTTTGAGAATTTTATTTCTTAATTATCCAATAATTACAAAATATTTTCATCAAATCAAAAAACTGTTAACTGTTTTTCAGTTAATCCATAAAATTTTATCTAACCGTAACTTATTTTTTAACATCTAAGAGATCCATTTGAAAACTAATTTTTCTATAACAAATATGTGCTGTAAAAATTGTAATGTGCAATTTTATTAGTGACTAATTCCTAAGTGTGTATTATTAAAAAATAATGACTAATATAAACATAAAATTGTTAGTATTTGTACAATATAAAATTGGGTGTTTTATGTTTAATTTGATAATATGGATAAGTGTCTTCGGGAGAGTTAAAATATATTATAATTCAAAAATAAAAATAATGATAATAATAAAAATAATGATGTCTTGGGTTTTTGTATAAAGTGAGAACCTGATGTTGTGGTTCTATCGGGGACGTATGGTTCGAGGGTTTAGAACAATAAAAACAAGTGGATATGAAGAAATAAATGTATGTCGTCTTTATTGAGGAATATGAGCTAATAAATTTGTAAACACCTTTAATAGGACACTGAGGTAACGGGGCGGTAACGACCCTCGAATATCCAGTTGAAGTGTCTATTAATATAATCAGATACACATTAGGTTTTTAAACTATTTTTAGGCACAGGGCGGTAATCCGACTAACAAAATTACTCTTGATGCTAAAAGGAATTATAGATCTATTACTTTATCGTTCCTTACTCAGATTATTAACTCTAAATAAATGGGATGATATAAATTGACTTACCTTCGTATTCTATAATATTCAAGAAGATAAATGAAGTATTTACCAGAAATGCCAATTTTTACTCAATATTATTTATTTATGGTAATAATGTCTTTATAGACTAAAATAAATTTTAAACACAAATAAGGTATACACAATAAAATAACTCAAACGGCAGCACGGGGCCGTGATCAAAAATGTAGGAGCAAGAGTAGTTCGTAAGAACGAACTAGCTTGAGCTGGAGTTCTGGAGCTGGCTTTTCAATGGATATTAGTGCTTTTTATAGTACTAAAAAGGTACTCCCATATTCAGGGATATTGCCGTTTGTGTTATTTATGATTATATTTTATTGTTTTAAAGTATACATTACATGATAATTATATTGATAGCATAGTTAACAATAGATTACTTGACATATATGTAAATAATAAGAAATTGTGTTGAACATTGTATTTGTTATGACAGATAAATTATATGTTTGTTTACAAGTTATTTAAAATACAGATTATACATTTTTCATTGATAATTGTGAGATGCGTAATGCAAAGTATTAAGCATATCACGACAAATAATATCTTATTATTTGTTCGGATGCAGAACCCATAAACTGAGAACCCTTGAGGTCTATTCAATAATTTTGGATGTAGTGCAATAGGACCTTAAGGTTAAGAAAGAAATTTCTTCCATGTATGTCTCATGATTCTTGGGGATGACTACATTTTTTTCTGTGCTGCATTAGGATATCTAAGTGTAAAAACAACATAGTATATCTAACTTCAATGCAGTAATTTTTGAATACACATTTTTAGTCTTGACTTTCTGGAAGTTTCTTCCAATAGGTTTGTGTTGACTCAGTGGATTATGATTAATTTTTCTTTCGGCAATTTTAATTGAAAAATAATTACTAAAATAATCTTTAACTTTTATATAAAAAAATAAAAATAATATTAAACTGTGTAATTTTGCTACAAGTTCTAATATAAGTTATGCTAAGAATGAGTAAGTTTTGGTTATATATAAGTAGAATTAATTTTTTCTTATTTAAAAATTCTGTGTGTCGTCTAAAAGTAAAAATATATTAACTCATTGTTAAACAATTTTCATTTTGTGACATGAGTTTTATAATCAATGTTAAATTATTAGTAAAACCATTATAATCTCTAGTGGTACTCAAAGAAAAGGTAAAAATATTAAGGAGTAAAAAATTATTTATTTAAAGTTCTTTTTCTTTAAAATCTAATATACATTTATTAAAATCAGTTTCAAATTTCCTTGAAAAAAATATCTGAATAACCTTTTCTTTTTTTAATAATAATTACAATGAAATTGTTACAAAATTAGACTTCACATATTTTTAACATTGCACTCCATTATTTTTCACAAGTGTTATTCTTTGATATTTTATTTATCAGTAGTTAAACATTATATAATATTAAATAATTGTTATTCCCCTTAAAAATATCTACTCATCACTTGTAAACTAACATTTGATACATTTTTTTTTTTTTGTTATTAATAAAGTAACAAAGATGTCTAGTCCATTTAATTTATTTTATGCTGTAACTTGTGTATCATTACTACTATTAGTTAGTAAAAATATTTTATTAATTTATTTTTAAATTATATCTAGTCTAGATTTTAATGTGGAAATCTTTATCGCTTCTCAAACGCACAAAATTAATTGTCTTTTATTGTGTACACAGGTTTTTTCTAATATTTAAAATAGAAGTGAAAAACTATTCGTTTAAATATAGACGAATAATAATATTGTAGCGTTAATAATAATAATAGCTAGTTTAATGACGAATCCTATCATCAGTGACACGTACCTCTATATTTTTTAACTAAACTAATTAAATGTTATAATAATAGGCACTAATAAGGAGAGGCAAAAAATATTTTACGTCCGAAGATTGGAATCGCTCTTTTTTCCCCTCAAAAAAAAAAAAAAATTTAAGGGCTCACACCAGTTATATAACTGGGGTTGTTCTAGTTCAAAGCCCCCTTCCTTACCTTTATGTACCTATTTTATCAAAAGTCGGATACATTTCGAGGACCTTTATTGTAATAATTATTCGTTAATAGACAGTAATTAATTATAACGCTATTTTATTGTATTAATTAATATTTATTAATTAGTGATAAGGGTTATATTTTTCCATCAGATAATGTATTGCTACGATACTTATTTAATCCGAAATTTTATAATTTTTAATCGTTTTCGCAAATAATCAATATTCGGAGCAAATTTCATTCGGAGCAATCAATTAATAGTCTTATTCGGAGTATTCATCGTCGTAGTAAAATCCAAATTATTGTAACCATGTATTAGTAGTAATTGTTGTCGGAGTAAATGTATTCGGAGGATTTTTTTACAGTGTCAGAGTATATGAATGTCGAAGCATTATCAGTTCGTGGCAATCTCCATAACTCGAAAAACATAATTGCGGTATATGTATTAGTTATTCTACATCTCAAAATTAGTCAGATAAATTTATTTTTTACATATATTAAGGCTTGCCATAATGTAAATTTATCCACTTATTTCCAATAATTGCTGTAAACAATAATGTAGGAAAAGAAATAAGAAATTTAATAAGTAATATTCCCTTTAAGCACCAATGTCCAAAATTTGATTATGAGTTTTTAAAAAACCTTTTAATAAGACTGAGAATATTTAGTTCTTTAAAATTTTTAAACAAAAATATTTTATCAAAACCGAGAAAACATAAGAAATTTGATATACTAAAACATTAATAAAATACATTTACATGTTTTAGAAAAAGCTTTTATTATACTTTAATTTATTAATTGATAATTATTGTATAATTTATGCGATGAATGTGTATGTTGATTTTGAAACTTCATTATTATGTTAATTGATTCTTTTTTGTTTTTAGTTTTGATGCAAAGCTGAGAAGGTATTAATTTTACTATGATGTATTTTATAAAATAATTAATGAAACATTTTAGAAATTTTTGTATGAAATATTTAAAAAATGTATAATTCAATTGAACACGAATCATTATTTTTGGTGTTTTTGTTTTATTAATTTGAATTATCCTATTATTATATTATTTAAATATATTAAAACTTAAATATTTATGTAGTGTTGTGCACGTTCAAAAATATAAAACAAATACCATAATTAAAATTGTTACTTTACATTTTGAAAAAGGTATATACAGTTTTAGTCACATTTAAATAGTGGTCACACTGATTTACCTACATAAAAATGGTGGACTGACTCTAATTACTTCCCTATATTGACCATGTAAATTTTTATCAGTGCCAATTCTGTTTATATATAATAGCTTCATCGAGAGATTTTGTGAAATAAACAATTGGAGTGAAGTAGGTCATAAATAAATTGGTCTACAAGAAACCTACATCGGAATCAAAAATATGCTTATCTAAATCAAATGAAATTAGACTTTATCTATGACTTTTAAGTTTTAATATTATTACAAATTCTTAAAATGAGTATTTAAGTATAAAAAAATATTTAAAACAAAAAAAATTTTTTTTTTCAAATTATTAATTATTTTGATTTTTAATACATTAAAAATAATTAGTGCAAAATATAAATTTTAACACATTTTCTTGGTTCTTTAAAGTTGATTTTTTTAAATTAATTATAATAATAATAGTACAATTTATTTTACTGATTTACTTTAACTAAAAAAACCAAACAAAATGATGTTAATAAAATCTACTCAATTGAATATATAATAAAAATTGATTTTAATTGTAAAAATCCATTGTTTAATCAGATGAAACCCAATATAATTTTTTTAGAAGTTATTTATATTGTAAGATGTTATCAAAAAATCTGGAGTAATACATACTAGTAGTAACACACACAAATACAGTTAAAAAACTGATAAATTACAAAGTACAATTATTTAATTTTGTAGTTGAAACCTATTATCATATCAAACCTATTTCGACAAAGAGTTCTTTAATAATGTTAGAAATGAATGATATTAATTGTTTGTATAGAGAATAATTATCTAATATCTTTAACTATATTATATTTATGATCATTTGTTATAGAAAAAAATATAAATTTAAATTTAAAATTAAAAGGTCCACTAGATCAATTCATAATAAAAAACCCAGCACAGGGGGGTCG